CGTAATGTCCCCTGAAGTGACAGAAACATGACTGCGTGTGTTGCAGCCTCAGGGCAGCCGCTGGCCAGATGATGTAGTTTGCACAAAGAGACCGAAACAAAGGAAGAAGCAAAAGACGGCAAAGAGATTCCTCTCCTTTTCTTTATTTTCCTGCTAAACATGCAGGAGGAAATGATCAGGACTATTTTTTTAACAATCTAATTAAAAATTTCAGTCTTTCCTCTTACACTTGGATTTTTTGGCTTCAACAGAAATCGGGAAAATGTGGCAGGAAAACACCCGATCCTGATATTGGACTAGCCTATACTACAGAGCTGTTTAAGAAGTCCAAGACATGTGTTACCTTTAGCAGCAAAATCAAGGTCATCTCTCAAGCCTGTAGAAAAGTCCAAACAACAACCTTTAGGACTAGTCTCCTGCCTGCAGCGGGTCAATCTGGGGCCCATCAGCTTATGTGTTTACTTATAAGATCGCCAATATTTCACGATGTAGCCAGTGGTGTCATTAATTAATGCAGACATATACTAAAAGTGTTTGCAAACACTAACCCGAAAGCGTCTGTTCCTGACATTTCTTTTCTCCTTTCAACAGGTAGCACATGTTCTTATCCAAATATCGTCAGACCTTAGAGGCCCAGTCCAAGTCAAGTTTCAGGGCTGAAGGTGCAACTTACAGTGTGGATGCAGGGCAGCTCTTTGTTCAGTAACCACGGTAACGAGAGCCGTCCCTCTCCACGGTAACAGGAGCGGATCCTTTCTCTCATGGCCAGGTTGATGTCATGGAGGGTGAACAGACAGAGGACCGTCTCTCTTGGTGGGTTGGAGCGATTCTTCTGACCCTGAAAATCCACAAAAGAAATTAATTCAGTTAAAAATAAATTCAATATTTGCAGGTTTAAATCCTGGACAGGCCTCTGAGCAAGGCACCCTTCAACAAAAAAAAAACTCAGAAAGAAAGTTCAAGCTCAAGATCGAAAACATCCAATCAGAAGAGAGGGCATCAACGGTCACATACCTGTGAGAAGACGACAAACAGGATGTCGTCATTTTCAGAAAGGCCGAGCGCTTGTGCCAGCCGCCGCCCTGGTTTTTGCTTGTAGGCGGCCTGGACCAATCGGTACTCTATGCCATCTTTTGTGCAGCCCAGAGGAAACTCCACATACGAGTAGAACTCGGTGTCATCAGAGCACATCCTCACAATCTTAGACGTGAAGAAGTTCTCTCCTCCGGCATCCATCTGAGTCAGCTGCGTGTCCAGCTGCAGTGTCAGGAAGTACACGTACGTGCGACTGGAGAAGCCGTAGACGTAGTAGATGTCGAAGGCAGGGTAGAGTGACAGGGTGTCGGACGGGATCTTGATCTGCGAGGAGACGAACTCATCCTGGTAAACCAGAGAGAACATATCGACGCTCTCCTCATCAACCACCAGCTTCCTGCTGGACAGCGTGGGGAAATATTCCGACTTTCCATCGATGGCGGCTCCGATGAACAAGTGGCTCTTGGTCTTCTCCAAAATCTTTCTCTTTGGGTCATCCAACCAGTGGTCTTCAACGATCACACCTGCAGAAGAAGGACAAATAGGTAGGATACGATTAATACTGTGCCTTCCAGAATGTTCCGGACAAAGTCCCAAATTTTGTAGTTTTACAAACACTTTGCATGAACTGTTTGCAGATATTTTTTTTACATGGGCCTCATTTTCACAGCTTTACAATCTACTGGGATGCTGTACAGAGGTCAGTTCTATCGGCAGATAGCCAAAATAAACACATCTTCCTTTAAAACTAATCAGCTACTTTTAGCTTTTTCATAATAGTAATGTAACAGAAAAATATATTGACTTTTATTCTGAAGAACATTTACTGGAACTCCTCCAGTCTCCAGAAACAAAGCTATCAACAATGCAACGCACAAACAACCTCTGGATCAGATGCTAAAGAAAGGACAAGTGTTAGCAGGCAGTGTGAGGCCCATTTCCACCAGAAAAGCTCCGGCGGGTCTGATTAGCTCTTTCTTTTCAAGCAGTGTCCCACAGTGGCTGTTCCAGTACTTTAATCAAAGGTCTAACTAATTTCACTCACACCTTTTTTCCCCACTGAAACCCGAGCAGAGAAAATATTCCAGCATTTGTGAATGAACCAAAAATCGGCTTTACAAAGAAATATGTGGGCAAAGTCTAGCTGTCAGTCATCTGCTGTTATGTCCTGACAGTCTTCATTCGGGTTTTTGTTCATGCCAAAAACTGCACATTATAAAAACCTGCAAAATATTTTGACACTTGATTGACGTCTGCAAGTCGAAATGCTTCTCCAGCCTGCACAGAAGTCCAGAGGGAACATTGGAGCGTATTGTTTTTATTTTAGGCATTAAAACGATTACATTGGGACAATGCATCAGTACAAAATCTGCCGAATGTTTATAATTGAGTATTTACAACAAGACAACATGAAAATAAAACTGCTATTCTATAAAATATTGTTTACAAAGAGCATGCATTAGATTCCCTCTGTTGCATTAGCTGCTGATATCACTGTAATCCAATAAAACAAACCTTCAGGGAAAAAGCAGAGGCACAGTTTCACAGTGAGAGTAACTCCGTTACGTAGCCATCAGCTACTAGCTAACTTAACTGTAAAAAAAACAAAACAAAAACGTGCTTCCTTGAGAAAACCTTTCGAAACACCAATTGCTCTAACCACTAGTGGAGAAATATTGTTAGCGTGAAGCTAAATGTTGACCAGATCAGCTAGTAGTATAAAATGTGGCACCAAATTAGAAATGATTCTGCAGTTAGCTGAATTCATGCTAGCCTTGGTTAGCGGCTAGCTTTTGTGATTTATCTAAAAGCTATTATAAGAGACTCGGGTAGAAGTTTCCATGTTTTTTTTTTCTTGTGCAAATTGATGGATCAGTGAAGCATCATTTATGGAGCTGTGAGTGTTGTTGTAATCACAGACTGGATAAAAGACGCAGCTTTAGGGTCTAAAAACTGTTCAATTTCAATTCAATTTTATTTACACAGC